CTGTCTTCCACATGAACCAATGCGTGTTGCAGTCCAGCCTAATTCTGCCCACCTCACACTCGGCCCTCATGCAAACCAGTGGGATCTGCAGCCTAATCGGAGTGACCCACAACCCCCTCACTGCCCTGGTTTCCATGCTTGCCCGCATGTACCACAGACTTGTCCAGTCTGTCCCACTTCCCATTCAGCTCTCCTACATGTCAATGGGCATTGAAGCCTAGTTCAACCAAACCAGGCCCACTATCCAGCCCATGTACATGCTGGTGGGTGCTGCTCTGTCCAGCCACATCTACCCCAGTCCTGGTTTTCATGTTCTCCAGTGGGAATGATAACCCAAGAGGGAGCTGCCCACTATTTTCCTACTGGGCCTACTCCTGGATCATGCACTTTCCAGGTGATTCTGCAGTTTAACTTGACAGAATTAGTCCTCAGTACCGTCATCTGCCAGCTGATGCTGTGGCAAAGCTCTAGCAACCCTCAACCATTCTGATTTATGCTTGCACCAGTAGGGACAGTCAACCAAGACTGGCTCTTCCCTGATCTGGCTCACATGAGGCCCACAGGTGTAGCCCTGCCTGGTCTGGTCTGCCCCATCCCAACTTATGCTCTTCAGTGGGAATGGTTTTCCAGCAGGGGGCCCTCCACATTTCCCCTACCAGCTTTACATATGTTGATTGGGTGCTGCAACCCAGTCTGGCATGGCTTGTCTCACCTTGACTTTTGCCAGTGGGTGCTGTAGCCTGGCCCAACCTGGCCCTCCCCCAATTCCAGCTGATGCTGGTGAGGGTTACAGCATAGTCCAGCCCAGCTGGTACCCAATCCCAGCTGTAATGTGTATTGGTATGTGTTGTGACCAAACTTGGCCCAACCCATACTCTCTTCTGGTGCTCGGATTCACCAGCTGGTGATGTGAACTGATTTAGCCTGGTCTGCCTCCAATCTTTGCCAAATGTATGCTGGTGGGTGCCGTTCCCTGGCCTGGCCTGGGCTGCTCCCTATTGTGGCTCTTGCGCTCACCTGCAGGGACTGTATCTTGCCAGAGGAGTTGCCCAGGCTCCTCCATCAGAATCTCTCTCAATGCCAGATCTTGCGCATACCAGCTGGCTCCAGGGCCAGCCCTACTTAGTCCACCTCCTGTCTTAGCAGGAACAGTGGCCTTTCCTGACTCTCCTTCAACCCATTCTGGTTCCTACTGTTGGATATTTTAGTCCAGCCAAGGCTTGTCCATACCCAGACAATGCTCACACGTGGCTCAGTAGGGGCAGAGACCTAGCCTAGTCCATCCTACATCTACCCTGGTTCCCCAGAGCACCAGATGGTGCTGGAGTCTAGCCCAGATTGGTGTGTCCAGTCCCAGTCCACACTTGTGCCAAGGGAGACTGCAACCATATCCAGACCAGAACACAGCCTCCACTCCAGCCCCTACACTCCTCAGTGGGAACCCCAACCTAGGTAGGGTGTCCTCTTAGCCCCTCAACCTGGCCTGTTCCCAACCATGGATCTGGCCTGCTTGACAAACCTGTAGTCTTCGCTTTTGCATGGTGTGTGGTGGTCAGCATTTTTCGGTGATAACAAGTTCTACACAGGACTCATAAGTAGGCTGGTATATCACTCTGACCCATAAAGATCATCCGGTCTCTCTCCTCCAAACCACCAGGTCTCAATACCCTTGCTTACCTTCAAGGAAAAGTTATTCTGTCATTGGGAATCCTTCAGGATTGATTTGCAACCCACAAGCACAGTGGGATCAACATGGACGTACCTAGGCAGCAATTCCATACCCCCAAAACGCCAGAGCTTGCTGCTGGGCGGTCTGCAGGTGGAGCTTGGCACCAAATGGCGCACTTACTGCCAAGGGCCCAGCTCACCGTGTGGTTGCGATGGCTGGCCGCAAGCAAGGAGTCCGACCCAGCCTCGCCTGGGACCTCCCAGCAGCTGCTGGAAATTCTCTTACCCAGACTCCAAGGTCTCACACTCCTGGTCCCATCCACCGCATGATATTGGTCATGGGTGGAGCTGGGGCCTGCCCTGTTCCCAGAGTTCCCGTTTCAGCATACTCACCAGGAAAGGAATAGCCTCTGGAGCCCAGGCAAGATTTATTTATTTTTGTTGAAAAGTCAGATATACAGAGAGGAGGAGAGTCAGAGAGGAAGATCTTCTGTCCGATGGTTCACTCCCCAAGTGGCTGCAATGGCTGGAGCTGAGCCAATCCAAAGCCAGGAACTTCTGTGTCTCCCACGCAGGTGCAGGGTCCCAAGGCTTTGGGCTGTCCTCAACTGCTTTCCCAGGGCACAATCAGGGATCTGGATGGGAAGTAGGGCTCCCAGGATTAGAACCGGTGCCCACATGGGATTCTGGTGCATGCAAGGTGAGAATTTTAACTGCTATGCTATTGCACCAGGCTGGAGCTGGTACTTAATAGAGGATGCCAGAGACTCAAGCAGGGGCTTACTCCCCTGCACTACATGCCCATCCTAGGGCTTGTGTTTCATTTAAGAATGAAATTATTGATACAAAGCCCACATTTTCACATATATCACAATGCAGTTTTGGAAATTTGGCAATACTTTCCATCCTACCGTACCCGTCCTACCCATATTCCCACCCAACCTCTTCCTTCCTTCTCTCTCTTCCTTCTTCTTCTTCTTCTTCTTCTTTTTTTTAGTTTTTACAGTAGTATACTTTCATTTCACTTTACAGTACAGGCTTAACATTCTATTAAGTCAAGAGGAGGACTTGCCTCTCAAACACAGCTGATTTCTAGATGGTGTGTAAGATATGAAAATGATATTGTATTTGCTGATTAAGGCATATTTTTCTCCTTTACAGAGATAAAACTTTTTTTTGAAAGGTTCTGTATATTTTCCCAGAGCTGTGCACATTTTATTTAGCATAATAATAATGTAGTGACTTAGAATGCAACTTGCTGGTTTAAATCTTGACTTTCGTATTAGCCCACTGCATCACCTTAGGCAAATTATTTAACCTTTCTAGACTTTATTTTTCATGTGGTGCAATAGGAGTCATAGCAACAGTATTTGTCTTAGAGAGTTGTTGGGATGACTCATTGAATAAATATTTGTAAATACCATGTGCCTGGTACATGGTAGGTACAGTAAAAATATCCATTGTTTTATTGTTAGAAATCATATCTTCTATGGGAATGACATTGTGGTATAGTGAGTGGAGCCTTCTGTGGTCATATAGGCACAGGATCCTGTCCTGGCTGCTTTGCTGCTGATCCAACTCCCTGCTAACAGGCCGAGGAGAGCAGCAGAAGGTGGCACAAGTGTTTGGGTCCCTGCCACACATGTGAGAGACCTGCATGAAAATCCTGGCTGAGGAGTGAACCAACAGATGAAAGAACTCTCTCTGTCTCTCCCCACTCTGTTTCTAGCTCTGACTTTCAAACAAACAAATAAATAGATAATGAAATAAGTAAATAAAAATTCAAAAAGAAATTATATCTTATAGATCTTTCTTTCCATTAGATTCAGTGTGCTAGAAGAGCAGAGAGCTTGCGGGTTTCTTTTGTTTGCTTTTTTACTTTTTCTTCCCTGGCTCATCTCATCACCCTGATTTTCATACTTTGATTTCATGGTGACTGACACAGACACATGTGTGGGGGAGTGTTAGACATGTGACACCCCTCTCCACCCTGCCTTGCCTCTTTTTTCCCTACCATCGATTCGCATGCAAATATCTCCATGAGGACTTGTAGTCCACCATCCTCACTCTTACAAGTTTCATTTATTTATTTATTTGCACATAGACGTAGAGGATTAGACTGCTATTTTATGAGCCTTTTGGTTTTATTTACAGGTTAAGAGAGTTTGCAGAAGAGAGTTAAAAAACGTAGACATGTTCCTCTTGACCCAGAGGAAAGGTGGGAAGGGGCACTTGGTGGCCTCTTTGGAACTTGTCCTCTCCTGAGAAAATCCTGAGCTCTAGTGTTAGAAAGTTGGGTGCTGGCCTTTAGGAGACGCTGTTGTCAGGGTTGTTTTAACCCAGGGAAGGAGGCGGGGAAGAGGAGGGGGAAGAGAAGAAGGCAGTGATGATGTCATCAGGAAATTAACATGAGTCACTGGCAGCCAAGAAGTCAGTCTTCACTCGTCTAGGCGAGGTTCCCTTCCTGCACAAATAGGAGTGTCGTTGGTCTTCGTAGTGCGCAGAGATTTCTGACTTTTTTCCATTTCAAACTTAGATTTTGTTTACGGCCATACCACCCTGAACACGCCCGATCTCGTCAAACTCAGTTTTCAGGAGGTTTTCCTGAGCACCACTGACCTTCAGAAGAAGTGCGGGAGTTTGAACTGAAGCAGGTATGTACATTTCTACCCCACCACCCTGGGATCTCACGCTCTGAACTTCCCTTTGTCACAGGAACTTGCTCAAACTGTCACACTGGCACGATCGGTGCCCAGAATTCTTGGGACCTGCTGGGAAAATGAAAGTTAGTAAGAGTAATTAAAAAAAAAAAAAAACAAGCTAAGAAGTTCCCAACATAGGTAACTGGTAGCCATTTGCTACGAGCTCGGACCATGTTTGGCAGGTTGACTGTCACAAAGAGACTATAGGATGCGTGTATCAGAAACCAGTCATTTAACCTCAAGGTTAAATGAAGAAGACTTCAGGATGATTACATTAAGAGACCTTATCTAACAACAAAGTAATAATATATTTGTTGCATAAAGTCTGAGAAAGTTAGATGTGGGTGCAGAAGATTGATGCAATCTCGAGCTACACCCCCAACTTGGTTCCATCCTTGACTCTAGTTTTCAAATAAATAAATAAATTCTAAAGGAAATGAAAAAAAGAAATCAGGGTAAATTGAGTTCTGATTAACAATCCCCCTTAAGCCTTCTAATGGACACTTGTAAGTTCTGGGGGATGCTGGAGATGCTGGGGTCGGTTTTCTGGGCTGTTGGTCCTTGGAGAAGCCTCAAATTTCTCAGACTTCCTGGGATGTCTATTGTCTAGGAGAGAGGAAGCTGGGGGTTGAGCAAGAGGCGGTGAAGCCTGGTCTCCTGGTCCTCACTCGTGCTGAGCCCTCTCTGCCTCTGGCAGGGTGGCCATGGCATCCGGAGATCGGAGTCTGAGTTTCATCTTGGATCAGAAAAACCTTCGTGAGCTGCTTCTGGAGCTCGACTCACAGCTGGGGGCCCAAGAGGTGGAAAGCCTCAAGTTTCTCTGCCTGGATTTGGTCAGTAAAAAGAAGCTGGAGGAGGCAGACTCGGCCTTGGATATTTTTGAGCTCCTTTTGGACTACGAGCTCGTGCAAGAACAGAATATTTTCTTCCTCGCGGAACTCCTCTACATCATCAAGCAGATCAAACTGTTGCAGCACCTCGGGTACAGCAAAGAGGAGGTGGAGCATATGCTGCCCACGCGAAGGAAGGTGCCTTTGTTCAGGTGAGGCCGGGAGGGAGGGGCCTGGCTGGGAGGAGGTGTCTCTGTTTCTAGCCACTGGGCTTTTTTTTTTTTTTTTAGTTAATTAATTAATTAATTAGAAAGTCAGAGGGGGAGAGATTGAGAGAGTGAGAAAAAAAGAGAGAGAGAGTTGTTTTATCTCCTGGTTCACCCACTCCCCAATTCCCCGCCAAGAGCCAGGAGCTGGGGCTGCTCCATGCTGAAGCCAGGATTTAGGAACTCCATCAGAATCTCTGATATGAGTGCGAGGAACTCAAGTATATGGGTCATTTTCTACTGCCTCTTCCCATCCCAAAAGCAAGGTGCATTAGCAAGGGGTAGGATGGGAATCCAAGCAGCCTGAGTCTCAAACTAGCTCTCTGAGAGGTATGCCAGCATGGCAGGTGGTGACTTCATTCCCTATGCCACAATGCTGGCCTCTGAAAGTGTCTAGTGACTTGGTGATTAGAATCCTTCAAGTCCTTCAGCATATGGACGACTCTTGGTCAGCTAAAGGAATGATGAATTCTGGAAATCCATTCTATTTGTTAAACATCTGAGGGATATTGGTGTTGGGAATGAGACACTTAGCTTTTCTGACTACAGATGATACGGCAAGCTTGATATTGCTGTGATTCCCTTATGTTAAAAAGTTATTTATTTGAAAGACAGACAGACAGACAGACATACAGAGATATCTTCCATCCACTGTTCAACTCCCCATGCTCAGAGCTCAGTCTGCACTGCCCACGTGACAGGGATGCACCATTGGAGTCCATTGCTTGCCAACACCCAGGGCGTATGATGGCAGGACACCAGAGCTGATATGGGATGTGGGCTTTCGAAGTGGTGTCTTAATTTGTGGCAAATGCCTGTCCCAGTCCTTTTTCAACCTGTGGTGGGCAATCCAGTATTGGCTGCCTTCAGGTCTTCTCCCACAAGGACATCTAAATTAATGTTGGATTTCTAAGATGGGACCCAAAGCTGGTGGGAGTGGGGGATGGGTTGAAATTGGGTATATCTTCCTAATGTGCTGGAAAGTAGCACTAGACCCAGAATCTGGAGACATGCCTTGGCAGCTTGCCATGCTAGTGGGCACCTTGGAAGCTCAGAGTTGTTTTCAAGTCTCTAAACTACTCCCAGAGTTGATCCTTCACATGCCGGATAACATGTGTAAAAATGCTTGATTGACTGATGTGTGCAAGTATGAAAATTTATTTGTCATTTTGGGTGTATGTCTTAGAAAGATGCTCTACGACCTGTCAGAAGGCATCAGCGCAGAAACCTTAAACAGCATGAAGTTCCTTCTGGGAGGGTCACTGCCCAAGTCTGAGATGGTGAGTGCGTTTTGGAGATGGGGACTATGTAGCACTGTGCTGCTTGGCAGTGACTCCGAAGAGGCTGGAAGGGGATTCCATGGAGGCTTCTTCCTCACAGTATGCAGACTTACCAGGGTTAAAATATCTGTTTTGTTGGATGGGCCTGGATTCTACACTCTTTCTCCTACTCAATCTGTGGTGTGGGCAAATGACCGAAGCGCTCTGGGCTTCTGTCTTCTTACATGTCAGATTGTCCTGGGTGTCCTTCTAGGATTGTTGGGCTAATAAGATGAAGTAACACACACATCAGGTATTCACACGAGGTGTGTATTTATTATAGCAACCATGAAATCGATGCTAACTGTTGCTGACATCCCCTGTGTTTTAGTATGTAGAACTGTTCAAGGCATACCTGGTAAGCAACAACCAGGTGAGAATAATCTGAGGTAGTCCAGGAGTCCTTTGCAGGGGCTTTGTGGTGTCTCTCCTGTAGGATGTTTGTGAAAGTCAAAGAAGACAGCACTGAGATGTGCTTTGTAAAGGGCTGTGCACGCCTTTGAAGTTACTACTAGTGATGCACTGGATATTAACATAGTGGCTATCAACTAATTATTCTGGTAGTTAAATTTAAATGCAGAAAAGGAGCTGTAAACCTGCTTTCTAAGCCTCAAGACTTTATGCTTTGTTTGGCTCCACCAACAACTTGTGAGGAATAGTTTAGTTAGTTTGAGAAGGGGCCAAGTTTCAAAATGTACCCTAGAACATAGTGTTGCTTGCTACTTTTTGAAGTTTTACGTTATGTAATTTTGATCATGCAAAAGAAGATGTGAAATATGTGGGGATGTTAAGAAATGTAGTCACAAAGCAGACATACATGAGCCCACTGTTTAACTTCTGAGAAGGCTCCTGGGCCATCTTCCCCAATCCACTGACATTACTGACAAATAAAAGGTTTGCCCCACGGGAGGCTGTTTCATGTGAAGTCAGTCCAACAAGCACAATGTGAGCAGTTCTTCAGACATTTTTCTGTAGCACAACGTGGTTGATTCCATTTTCACTATAATCTTGGAGTATTTCCGCTCTGCTCTTCCTTGCTTTAGAGCCCTCAGGAAATGGAATTGCAGCCTCCTGTGTTCTCACTGGCCTGCCTGCTTGGGGTTCCTTGCTCCCAAACCCTGGTGTCTTGAGGCTGGCTCTGAGTCTTCCTCACCTTTAGAGCCCAGCACGTGGTGCCTCTGAGATGACCTGATGCTCAGCCGATCTGAATGAAGCATGAATGGATGAGTGTGTGTGATTTCTCCTACCACGTCTTTCTGAGGAAGCTGCACACGTGCAGTGTAGACTTTGCAATGAGTGCTGATGGGAACTGTTGCTGGGGATGTGTTAAGAGCTACTTACAGCATCTTCACATTTGTTGCTCCTCTTCCTCACATGGTCTCTGGACGCTCTGGACTTCTTGTCTTATATACCTTTTAAAATATCTTTTTCTTATCTTTTTGGTTTTTTTTTTGTTTAAAAACATCCATGACAATCAACAGAACACAAGTATTGACAGATGACAGAAAGATAAAGTTTGATGTATGATTTATATGGTTAATCCCTTTAAAATCATCACTTAAGAATTAATTTTTAAATAAAACTATTTAAATTTATTTTATTAAAAATAAAATATATAAATTTGAAAATAAAATGTTTTTAAAATATTTATTTATTTGAAAGAATTACAAGGAGAGAGAGAAAGAGAGATCTTCCATCCACTGATTCACTCAAATGATAGCGCTGGCCAGGGACGAGCCATGTCAAAGCCAAGAGCTTCATCTGGGTCTCCCTCATGTGTGGCAGGGGCCCTGGCATTTGGACCATCTTCTGCTTCTTTTCTCAGGTCAGTCTCAGGGAGTTGGATGGGAAGTAGAGCAGCCAGGGCACAAACCGGTGCTTATATGAGATGTCAGCATCGCAGAAAGAGACTTAATGAGCTATGCTATCATGTTGACCCCAAGACATTAACTTTGGGCATTAAGCAAAATGATACTTTATAATGTGCCATGTGAGTTCTCTTTGTATGCTCCTGTGTCACATGCTTTTATCAGGAGATACAAAATGCCTAGTTCTCTTGACATTAGCAACTGCTGATGTTCAACAATTTTATATACTGTCACATGTGGTTTCATAGGCAAGTATACTTTCTGAGAAATGTGTGATTAGGTAATTTTGTGTGAACACCACAGAATGTGTTTACAGAAACCCAGATGGTACAGCCCACTTTATAATGTGGGCTATGTGGTATACCACATTGCTTCTGTGTAACAGGTTAGTGTCTTAAATATTGTAGCCAATTCTAACACAGAGCTAAGTGTTTATGTATCTAAACATAGAAAAGGTAGAGCAAAAGATATGAGGCAATAAGAATTTTCCAAATCCATTGTGATCTTAAGGTACTTAAGGTGGTCTGTCCTAACAAATGTTGTCATGTGGTGAGTGATTGTGCTGATTCTTTTGCAGTTGCAAAATGAAGATATTAAATTTCTATCATTTTGTTTCCCTTTTGTCTATCATTGGTTACCCAGATATAAAATATATATGTATGTATACATACACATAGTATATGCTATTTTTAAAAATATTTATTTTATTTTTATTTGAAAGGCAGAGTTACAGAGGGGAGACACAAAGAGAGGTCTTCCATCTGTTGGTTCATTTCCCAAATGGCCACAACAGCTGGAGCTAAGCTGATCTGAAGCCAGAAGTCAGGAGTTTCTTGCGGGTCTCCCAAGTGGGTACAGAACCCCAAGAACTTGAGCCATCCTCTGCTGTTTTTCCAGGCCGTAAAAAAAAAAAAGCTGGACCAGAAGTGCAGCAGCTGGGGCACAAACCAGGATCCAAATGTGGGGGCTGGTGTCACAGGTAGAGGATCAGCCTCCCAAGTCACTGTACCTGTACCAACCCCATAAGTTCTTTTTTTTTAAATTTATTTATTTTTATTGGACAAGCAGGCATACAGAGAGAGAGACATACAGAAAGAGTTTCCATTTGCTGGTTTACTCCCCAAGTGACCACAGCAACCAGAATTGAGCTGATATGAAACAAGGTGTTTCTTCTGGGTCTCCCATGTGGCTGCAGAGTCCTGCATTATGTGGTACTTGACTACTTTCTCGGGCCACAGGCAGGGAGCTGGAAGGGAAGTGGAGCAACAGGGACACGAACCAGTGCCCATAGGGGATCCTGGTATGTGCAAGGTGAGGACTTTAGCCACTAGGCTACTGTGCTGCTCCCACCCGTAAATTCTTGATGTTTTCATTTACTTACTCAGTTTTCAAGATGGTTAATTGGTTTCTTGTCATTAACAGAAGATGGCCCTTTAGAAAAATCACATGCAAACTTTCAGTGGATTTAAGCATATATGAGGGTTTTCAGTCTGCTGTAGCTGTTCTGATTTAGTTTAAATTGTCTCATTTTGGTCCAGTGACAGCCTCTTCAAGTTGGTCTTGACTCATTTTGATGGAATCCTTGTCATTTTCACGTTCCTTTACTGCCCTGTAATGATGCCCCAGGTTCATTGTATGTACTTTTTTCCCCCTAGTGCTGGATTCTATCATTTCTCTAAAAGGCTTGGTTTTATTAAATTAGAAATGTTATTTCCGAACCACAGACAAGTGCTAAAAGATGCCCAATGCCCCCAGGTTGATATTTCCTCTTTTTTTTTTCTTTCTTCCCAAAGGTCAGAAGTAGGAAATACGTGTGTGTGTGTGTGTACTTTTGTATATGATTCTTTTTAAAAGATTGTTTTTGCAGATTTATTTTATTTAAGAAGCAGATTTACAGAGGGGAGAGACAGAAGAGAGATTCTTCATCTATTTGTACATGGTTCAAAAGGCCTCAATTGTGGGGAGTGGGCACCGGAGCAGACCAAATGAACATGAAAGGCCATTGCAGGATGGCGGCTGGCCCAGGACCAGGAGGTGGGGTTGGTCTCGCCAGCAGGTAAACAGGAAGTCACAGGGATAGGCTGATGCCCTCGCTGTGATTATGTCATTGCTACTGGCCTATCAGGTAGCACTACGTGGACCCACGGGGAGAAGTGATTGGTGGAGAGTAGCAGCTGCTAAAAGCAATAAGAAGAACAAGAAGAAAGGGGCAGCAGAGAGGGCTAGAAAAGCTAAGATCTTCAGGGAGAAAAGCTAAGGTGTACGGGGAGAAAAAGCAGAGAGGGGTACAAAAGCAATAAGACCTACGGGAACAAGAGAGGGGTACAAAAGCAGTACAAAAGCAGTAAGACCTACGGAGAGAAAAGTACAGGGAGAAAAGCAGTGGAGAAAGAGCATAAAAGCAGCTGCTTTTGGCAATAAGGGGTCCGGTTATAGTTCTGGCTTTTCCCAGAGTGTGCCGTGTAGGTAGTGTTGCTGCTGGTCGGCGACACTCAATGGCCAGAGCTGAGCCAGTTCAAAGCTGGGAGTAAGGAGTTTTTTCCAGATCTCTCACATATATGCAAGAATCCAAGGACTTGAATCATCCTCCGCTGTCTTCCCAGGCCATAAGCAGGGAGCTGGATGGGAAGTGAAGCAGCAGAAACATGAACCAGCACCCATAAGGGATGCTGGTCCCATTAGTGGAAGATTAGGATGCTATACCACAGCGTCCCTGAGATGATGATTTTTCTAAAAAGAAAATGTTTTAAAAAGTACTGTAAGGTTATTGGGATTCTGCCATATAATTTCAGTGTGTAAAACTCATGTTTGCAATGTTTATGCTTGCACTGCAATTATCTGCCTTAAATGTAACATGTGTCAATATGAGAGGAGAATCCTACCGGTTTGCAAAACTCTCTGGGTGTTTCTGATTATTTTATGTTCCAAGTTGGAGTATCCTGTCCCAAATTTCCAAGAGTCTGGGTTTATCAGTAAAATGTCCTCTCTTTACTGTTGTACCCTTGCCTTGCCAAGGGGAGAATGGGGTGGTATGGATGGTAGCAGTATGGGGTAGCAAGGGGTGGGAGGTGAGGGGAAAGGCAAGCAGCTCTG